TGTGTGTGTGTGTGTGTGTGTGTGTGTGTGTGTGTGTGTGTGTGTGCGGAGAAGGGATTTGTCCGGTGTTACGGGGCAAAGGTGGGCGAATGGAAAAATAACATTTAAACGGGACACAGCAATGTATGCAACTCTCAGATGCATTAACAGGTCCTCTTAAAAGAGAAATAAGAAATATCAGTTTTTGAAGAACCAATACGAGCACGCCCACGTCCCATTCAACACCATTAAACAACACTGATCTAATTTTTGTGGCAAACTGTGGCGATCCTCAGCTTATGAGAAAACGCGAACCACGGGGCGACACGCTACCGAACAATTGTAATGAGTTAAGCTTCCTAGGTGACGCCAGCAATACGCTTACGCGTTACAGCATTTAGACAACGAACCATAGGCCGGTTAAACCAACCAATCAGAAACTGTGTTGACCAGACAGAAGCAGTACGACGCCAAGAATACGAGCGATTGGCAGAGACTTGGATGACTAATGGTTATTATTTAAACCCCACGATTTCTTCCAATCAATGAACTGCTACCCCTGTGGCCTTTTCCTTGAATCTCGGTTACGTGGGATACCGTCGTGCGAGTGCCGGTATGATTCGGCGCTTACGTGGCGTCCGCGATTCCTAATACGTGATCAATGCGTACTATAACTATTGAAAAGACCACTGAAGCAAAGAATTCTTTTCGATTTCTCATTCTCAATCATTCCTCATTTTCTATTAATTCACTTGCTCCTGTGGAGCCAGCTATATCGGTCGTACCAATCGGCAGTTGACTAAACGGATTCAAGAGCATCACCCGGCCTGGCTGAGAAAAGGACTGTCAAAGGCCATTCGTAGCTCAATTGTGGAACATCTTATCAACGGTAGATGTTGAAAGGTCATTTAAGGTCATTTACAGAACCCCTATTAATGTGACCAGACAGTTGCGGCAGATTATGCTTTGCACAGCCGAAACGGTAGCGATTCGTATCCACCACCTCGAACTGCGCAAACAAAAACGGATCGTTTACGTATTGAGTATGCGATGGCCCGACGATATGGCGTAATTGACCTTTGTTCAAAAAATCAAACGATGACTGAATGACCGTGTTACGTAATCTGCTTAGACAAGTGATTACAACCCTGTAATCCCCCTCCCCCACACCGGTTTATTTTGTAAATCATGACTTTTGTTGCCACCTTGTGATCATATATTAATTTGGAAGCTTGAGAATGAGTAATCGAAAAGAATTCTTCGCTTCACTGGTCTTTTCAATGATCTATGGGGATATTTCAAGAAATTTTATAACTATCACACAAATACTCAACCTTTCACGAATTAGCGCGTATTAGAGTGGCGCCGATCGCTGAGCAACGCCAAGCAAAAACCTTCGCATAAGCACGCATAAGCAGTATCCGAGATGCGTCCTTCCGCAGGGATATAAAGTGCTCAAATATGGGCACCTTCTTTACTGAATCCTACTCATTCTGATTAATATTATGAGCAAAGACAAACTAATCTCCGAGTAGCGGTACTCACTGAACATGGTTACACAACACCAAGGTGCATCAGTCAACAGAAGTTGCTTTAACGCATTTCTCACAGAGATGCTCCAGCCGAAATCCGTAATACTATAGCCCCTAATGCCGAGATTTCCAGCAACCCTCGACATAATTACCATCGTAAGAGACTCAATAATTACGGATTTCGTTTAGAGATTGACAAGTAAAGTTGTTTTAAAGGGGGTGGAATTTGTGAACAGTAATTGTTATCTTCCACCTGTGACTGTATCCAAATCTCATGGGTAGAGTCTATTTTCAGTGGTGATAGGGAACAGTTGACCTACACTCTTTCACGGTATCACTTTTTTGATTTATTTCCGGGGCTTGTGAATGCAAAACACTATGTACCGTTTGTGTTACATTTGAGATTTTGACCCACCGGAATATCGCATGTTATACAAAAACACTGAAGCTGTGCAAGATGTTTAAATTGGGTTCGAAGATACGGGCACATTGGTTGAACCTTCTCAAATCAATGTGTGGTGCGGTATTTGATACCGATGAGACGGTCAACTGCACAGTGAACGATCATCATAGCTTCTTATTTCTTCACCAAGCTTAGAAACATCAGAATTTGTTGGAAATAAGATGTTTCAACATTCGTTAACCGCTTAATATGCCGATACTTTTGATCTGATTCGTCTAAAGCGGTATGACTAAAGTTAGTGCATCCAGACCAAAGGGCTAGTGGTGGTAGCTAAAGGGTTGCCGGTCGTGGCTATAGCTTAATGGGAAATGGTGCAGATCGAACCGATTGCGGATTTGGGTCGTTAAAGCTGGAAGAATAAAAATTTTTCGCAGCACAATAGGTAGAATTTCCGTCAAAAGACCGACCATCGGGCAGGTACATTTTATAAAACACAGATACTCCATTGAGTTTGACATTCCCGAATGTTCTGTGAATAATAGCCAGACAGTTTAATTAACAATGAACAATGTGAATGATTCACGTGATTACCTTATGAAGTTCTCAATGCGTACCTGGCTGATCGATCGATCGATCGCCAATGTGTGCTTTCAGAAGCCGCATTCATTCATGTGCTGTGTTTTTTATTTCTCCAGGTTCAAAGGGAGGTCCTCGAAAGAACATGAACAACAACAGGAAATAAGGAAACACGATTTTCATTCACCTCTTACGAGGTGTTGAATTCCAATCGCACAGATATGATGTATTGTATTCGAGGCCCTATTATTTGAGTGACATGCAGATAAGGGGCTTTTATGCGTAAAAGAGAGTAAAACCACAGGGTAGTGCGTCTTCATCTACGCATCAAATCATGAAGAAGAAGTTTCTACGCAACCAAAAAAGATTACCCGCCACGTCTGGTTGCTTTTAAATGAATCTACTGACACACTGGAAGTAGTGTTTGCGAACTATAGACTGAAATTATCGATGAATTAGTGCTACTTCAACCGAGATGGTTTGATTACTTGATTGATCGACCTTACGGGTCGGTTTGGTCGGAATCAGCAACGTGAACAAGCACGTAGACCTGATACAGAAGGAGCCTAAGCACACACACACAAATATGAGCAATTTGTCACTCCAAAAGAGATGTTTGGAATTGTACCGCTTTCGGGTGAAATGATGATTAGTCATTTACTTTGTATTACATGTTTGTAATCGGTCCATTTGTACTTGTTAAATCCCTGGCACTCACATTTGGAACTGTGGAACTCATGCCCGAACCAAGATCTTGCGGTCGGGACATGTATTGCGACACTTCTTCATCTTCCACCGTCGGTTCATCTTCTTCTCTCTCCGCCTGTTTGTTTGTTTGCACAACAGCCGTGTCTGACTGATGTGTTCCATCCTGTCTAGCCGGCTTAGGCGGTAATGGTGGAGGAGGTGGTGGTGGTATTGGTGGCGTTGGATGCATAAAATAGGGCTGATAGTTTGACTGCTTCAGATCTTCCGCGGCGGAAAGTTGAGTAGTGTTCGATACGAAATAGTTGGGTAATCGGTTGCATAACAGAGGATCAAAACTGTTCAAAGAGATATCATTATTGCTGTTGGCGTTGTTGTTGTTGTTGTCATCTTTGTGGATGAGTCGAGGATTCATATGACCGGGGATAAATCCGTTGTTTTGACCCAGTGGTTCGACCGAATCGGTCGTGGCCAGATCAATGTACTCGTTCGCGTTCTTCGGCATACTATCTGACGTATCTGAGATGTACGACGAATATAAGAAAATGTAGTATAAAAATTTGACCTTGAACCAAATCAAATCAAATACAAGTTTTGACGACTGGACGAAAAATGCTTTCTTCTCAATATCGAAAGAAACATGAAGGCTGCATTTATGGAATGAAGGGAATCTTCCCAAATCTCCCTCTTTTATTCAATTTCAATACAAGAATATGTCTGACATCTGATGTGATTTGAAAATTACGCTTGAATTCGGGGAATTTTATTTCCAGCTTCCAAACCAACCAAACACTCGCACACAACTCCTCGGTTGTGGTAATGCTCACCAACTCATTTGGGCATTGGAGTGGATTGGGCACTTTGGAATTGTGCAGACAGATGGGTTATAGGAAGTGCTCAAAATCAGAGTGCATGACTGTTTTCACTTTCAGTTTCAGTTTGAACAACCATGTAAACACAAATGCACATTCGGGCGCCGGTTTTGATTACTAACCATCGGGTACGATCATCTCGAGGTCCCCAGCCAGGAAGCCTAACAGGTCCTATGTACTAGAGTCTCCGGGTTATTG